GAAATACGCTCGCTTAAAATTTCTCCAGTTGAAGCAAAAATGAAAAAAAAATGTCGTTACACAAATAACGGTGAATTCGAAAGGACTTTTGAACGTAGCTAGGATTAACGTGCTACTTGACAATCTTGGAATTAAAGATGTATCGAGTAAATTAAACGCTTTTTGCTTTAATAACAGAAAAGAAAAGCTTTAGAGATCTGTTTTGCTTTTGTTTGTTAATAAAATTTTTTTTTGATCAAAGGAACTTGATGGTTTCGGGTCTCTTCAATAAACAGGCGAAAATCTGTTCGATTACGTGCTTCATCTCTGATCTTGCTGAAGCTTGGTTGAGGGTATTCGCAAACAATGCTGGGCAGACACAGGCGCAATGAGCACTTTGGGTATTAGATACTTAAAAGCAAAATCCTTTAAATCTACTCAGCTGCGCAGTGTGATTTACACAAGGCTTACTCGGCAAAGGTTTGTGTAATTGAAATTATTAAGATATTGTTCATAATTGAGGTATAGCTTTTCAACCAATCATATTGATCCATAAGTTAGCGCCTCGTCTCCATGACGTTTGTTGCGGCGTCACGTGATTGACAACAAGCAAGAGGGCAATAAATAAGTGCTTGACGACATTGAGAGCGATTTGACCTGAATTAACGCGCCGAAGTGTTTTAAAAAATCGTCTTCCTTTTTGGCGAAACTATGAGTATCAACTGCTCCTGCTGAGAAAGCATAACTATGTCGGCTCACAGTAGCGGTCTTCTGCCTCCGGATGAGGTAAGAGTTACGCTAAATTTTTTCGAACTTGAACCGGCGTGTGGATTGTGAAATTGAGAATACTTCTTCCTTTTGTTTAGTTGGCAGATTTACACATTTTTGTCGTTCCCTTGGATCTGTGGCTCGAAAAATACCGAACAGCCTTTAACAACATCGCTTTGGAGTCCGTTTCTGCTGGATTTGTCCGGTAATTATACCGTTTCGTCTTCAAGCGGGAAGAAATAACACGGCGATTTTATAGTCGTCAAGTGTCTGAAATGCCTTTCATTCTACAATCAACGTTTTCTACGGTGTTTTCCTGCTCATCGGAAGTGTTTTGTTATTTCTACAGGGTTCAGCCGTATATTTCTTTAAACCATCTACGAGATCACATCGAGGAACAACTAGGACCAGAAGTTGTTCCAGAAGACTATATATTCTTGAGATCTGTTGGAAGATGTATGGCCGTGGTAAGAAATCGAATCTATCAGAGATCAAAATAATTTAGAGTTCTTAGGCTATGAACTAGGAAAGCTTATTAAAATGCTAGATTTGTTCACAGAGGTACACAAATCATTCTTCTGTAAGCTTTCCGTGAGATAGGCGAGGATCATAGATTATACCAAATCGAGTTACGTTAAGTGCGTTGAATTTAGTTCATTGTTTTTATGTCGTAATCTTTTACACGTTAATTTTGGTCGATTGTGTTTCTGGTTTCAAGTATTGACGTTAAAAACACCTGCCGACTAAAAGGATAATAACTTGAACTGTAAATTACCTCTTCGTCCTATTTTGCCGTTCTGTTAAATTATTTATGGTGTCGGGAATTTGCAATTGTAAATTTATTGAGCTTAGTCTTAGCGGGACAGGTGAATGTCAGATTTTTGAGTAATAAAAAAACCTTGGCATTTTGAGCTTTACCCAGCTTTCCTTTGTTGACCTTGGTTCTGACTCAGCTTTCATTACTGTCATATGACTTTATATCTAAACGATGACTCGGTTTTAATTATTCGACGATGAGTGATACTCTATCGTTTTTATGATCTTACCTTATCTAAGATATAGAATTCATGCCATATTTGTTATCTGATATTATTATGATAAGAAAACTTCCTCTCTTTTGTTATTAGTCAGAATTGATAAATAATACACTTTCTTTGCAAAGTGGTTTTCAGTGTTTCCTATATTATTACGCCTATGGTTGAGCTGGATTTTTGAGAAAAAAATACATCTTTCATCACGAATCTGCACACTATAAACAATGTGATAAATTTTCCTTGGTACTCATTGTTACGGCTTATTTTTAGGTCAAAGAAAATCAAGAGCGTTTGCTCAAAGCCAAGGACTTTTTACCACCTGTGGTAAGCCAGCCTTTTTTTTTTTTTTTTTTCCCTTTATTTAAGTACATTTTGTTTTGCATTATACAGAAAAAGAAATACACAAAGTGTTTGCATAATACTGCATTTCCATGAATAAGCACCCAGAGCTTATTTTAAATTTTGGCCTGAAGGAGGGGGAGGGCAGAGGGGGTTTTGGAAGAGGGGGTCAGTCAGCTATTCAAGAGGGGTGCTTGTTTGACATTGTGGCATAAGGGGTGAGTGCTTATTCACACACATTTTAGATTGTGGGCACTTACTCTTGGAAATTCCATATATACTTTGAAAGGAGAGTTATCAGTTCTAGTGAAAACTTTTAATCCTGGATTGGTTCAAACTGTGTTTTGAATGACAAGGCTCTGATCTTAAGTTTTAATGTGTTGATGGATTTACAATAATTCTATGAGCATGTGTTGGATATGGCTATAATCATCTTATATCCAACAAGTGCAATTGGAAGAATTGTCCAATTAAAAACACCCCAAAATTTAAAATGAATGTTGCCAACTTTATTTTGTAAGAACCAAGTTATTGAATGTTAAAATGTACTAAAACACTTCCAATTTAACTTGTCTTCATGGGCACACATGGTATAACGGCCCATAATCCATGATAAAAAACCCAATAAAAACTGCATTATCCAGTGATCCAGTTTTTGATAATCAGTATGATATACAAATATTAAAAAAAGGTTGTCTCTTTACAGGCTTATAGTCCAGAAATATTTATCCTTCCTGGAACTCATGACACCTTTGCAAGGCCAGCAGAGAATGCTACCAATACCATTATACAAACTCATGGCTTCACAACTGGTAAATTACTGTTGACTATTTGACTCTCTCTTTATTTTTTATAGTAACTATTGTGAATTTAATGCACAAAAAATTCAATCTACATGTAGCAATAGGTAGAGACTATGGATGAAGGTGTTTAAAGTTTGAAGATAAATAAAAATTTAGCGATCACTCAAACTTGAAACTGCAAATTAACATTATGTATGGTTGGCTCAGAAGCTCCTAACACCCTTGATTTTTAATTTATTGCTACCAACTTGAGAAGCTCTAGACGGTTGAACAATTTCTCCTCGCTAGTACCTGAGAAAATTTATAGAGAGCAGTATGGAGAATATACATGCTGATGCTTCGGTGGAAAGGGTTAACCAATATTAATATGACAGATTCTGACATATGCCCTTTTTTTTTGCAGCTGGTATGGCATCCATTCAGCCTCATCAGCTTCCCCCTGCAGGGTTTATCCAGCAACCATTTGTTCATCAAAATGTGCTTCCAGGTGGTTATAATAACCCTCACCAATCTACATTACAAGGAGAGCCAAATGGTTCTCTCAATCGTGTTGAGAAAAGTGGCGGATCTCGAAAGTCTGTTTCAGAAGATGAGGGAAGCAGTGACCATGAGAGAACACAAGACGATGGGGATCAAGAGAATGGCAGGAGATGGCAATCATTAGAAGACAGAAGTGGTGGATCCTCGGAGAATGATGGTGGATTAGAGGATGACAGAAAAGAACGTAAGAAAAAACAGAAAAAGGAAAGTCAGAATGAAAAACCACAAGACAACTCGTCCACTCCTGCTGCATCCAAGTTGAAAAAGAACAAAATACAGAAGAAAGGAAGCAGCAGTTCAGATGGAAGTAATCAATCAGAAACCAAAAGTGTGAAGTTTATTCAACCAGAGGTGTATCAGACTCTGACTGTTCCTGGTCAAAATGGGGCAGGGGTGTCTCCCCCAACACCTATTCCATCTGGGCGTGTCATTTCATCGCCATTTCCAGGCCAAGAGGCTGAACAAGTCATAGCTCATTCTAGAAATGTGGATTCTACTGATATACATGCAAGTAAGGATAATCCAAGTGGTAAAATAGATGAGAAAGGTGCAGCTGATTTAAATAGGAAGAAAAAGCCTGCTGATTCCAAAGGAGGGAAAAAGAAAAGGAGAGACAGATCGCGATCACCTTCTGTTGAGCGAACTCAATCCAAAGAACAGAATGGTCAAAAGGAAGATAGTAGATATGTTATTTATGAGGTTACCAATGATTCAGCTGTGTATGGTGAAGTGACAATGAGTCGTGTAGATACGCCTCCAAGTTTAAGTGAAGTGGAAGAGAGATCCAAGTTTGTTCAGTTCCCCTCTCCAGCCAAAGGAGCAAGAAGGCCAACACTGCCTGATGAACTGGAGCATGACAATGCTATTGCAAATGGATTACAAGACTTGAATGCGTAAGATTTTCAGTTTTCTCATGTTTCAAGAGCAAAAATCCAAAATATATTATTTTCATTCTATGGTATTTGACACCTAGGCCCTGTTGTTCAAAAGCCAATCAGCACTAACCCAGAGTTAAATTTTCATCTGGGTTTCTTTAATTTGTTTCAAAGCCTGTTTTGAATAATTTCCTCTATTCTTTTTGGAGCATCCAATCATAATGTTGTAGACAAAATGTTATTTAAAATTTTCTCTTAAAGCTCTCAGAACTGAAATCAGGTTTCACTCTAACCCTGGATTGTCCTAACCCATTTTTGAA